GGACTGGCATATAACCCCTGCACCACATCCGTTCATAGTAGAGCTCCCGTCTACACACATTTTCCAAACCTAATCAAGATTCTCCGGCTCAGCCGGCCTTATCATTTCGACAATGAAGTCGGCAAACACTTGACCCTTCACTGCCTTCCTAGGCTCGAAAGAGATTTCAAGACTCTGCATTTCAATAGCCCATTTGAGAAACCTACTGGATGACTCCAAGGTTGTCATTGGCCGCTTGAGAGGTTGGTCTGTGTAGACCACAACTGGATGGGCCAAGAAGTAAGGCTTCAACTTCTTGACTGCCATGAAAAGAGCCAGGCCAAAATTTTCAACCATTGGGTACCGTAGTTCACCATTTCGATGAACATAGCTAATGAAATAGACCAGGAGCTGGACGCCGTCTCTTTCAACAAGGAAAACGACACTGAGAGCATGGTCTGAGATGGCCAAGTACATGTAAAGCGCCTCCTTTGACAGAGGGCTAACAAGGCTCGGCAAAGAGTTTAAATGTTCTTTCAATTTCTGAAAGGCCGCCTTAGCATCATCCCCCCATTCAAACCTAGTCTTCTTTTTTATAACTTGGAAGAAATAGAGGCACTTGTCACTTAACCGGCTGAAGAATCTCCCCAATGTCGCCAGACAACCTGTTAACTTCTGAACTTCTTTGATAGTGCGGGTGACTTCATGTCAATGACCGCCTGTATCTTATCTAGGTTGGCCACTATTCCCCTTTGATCAATTAAAAATCCGAGGAACTTCCCAGACTCAACACCAAAGACACACTTCTTGGGATTGAGCATGACCTTGTGCCGCCTGAGTGTGGTGAAGGTTTCTTGGAGGTCAGCAAGATGATCCGTCTGTAGCTTGGATTTGACTATCATGTCATCAATGTACACCTCTACATTCCTCTCAATTTGATTAATGAAGACTGTATTAATCATTCGTTGAAAAGTAGCAGGCGCATTTTTCAAGCCAAACAACATCACAGTATAGCAGAATAACCCCTGATCAGTGACGAAGGCCGTTTTCTCTTAATCTTTTTTCCACAAGGGTATCTGATGAAAGCCTAAATAGGCGTCCATAAAGCTCATCAAAGCATGTCCGACTGTAGAGTCGACCAGACTGTCAATCTTAGGAAGTGGATAACTATCCTTCAGACATGCCTTGTTCAAGTCAGTGTAATCAAAACACATGCGCCAGGTACCATTCGGCTTCTTTACAAGCACAACATTCGCAACCCTATCTAGGAAGAGACACTACCGAATGAACCCGGCGTCTAACAGCTTTTTCACTTCGGCGGCTGCTGCTTGACTTCTCTTAGTGGTTTTTTTTCTTTTGCCTAACCGAATTCTTTTTGGGATCCACGGTGAGCTTGTGGACAGCTAGATACGGGCTGATGCCTGGCATCTCTTCCACTTCAAAGGCAAAGATGTCTTTGAATTCCTTCAAAAAATTGTGTAAGTCTGCACCCAACTTCGCAAAAGCAACCATCCCTACCTTAACAGTACGCTCCGGACGTGTGTCGTCCAAAGCAATATCAATGTGTTCACTAGCCTGCTAGGGACAGAGTTCATCTAACCGTTCCTCGGTCAGTGATTGCTATTGTTTCTCTTTTTCCGTGGCCACCAACTGGTCGGCCTTTCTCTTCTTGTCGGATGTATTTGGAGCAGGCTCGGTTTCCTTGACATCATCAAGGTCTATTGACTCCTCACCCTGGCCGGCTGCGACCACCGTGGGCTTGACGTTTGAGAGGTAGCACTCTCTAGCCGTCTTCTGATCCCCGTTTAGGAGCCAATAGACCCATCATCCTTCTCAAATTTCAACAGCATGAGGGATGGAATAATGACGGCCTTGGATTCATTCAGAGTTGGACGACCCAATATTAGATTATAGGTAGTCAGCTCCTCTATGACCAAGAACCGGACTACCATGTGGCGTCCCTCTCCTTTTTGCCCCAACCGGATGGGTAGGTCAATCCGTCTGACTGGGTGCACAACCCCACCCCCAAAACCAACCAAGGGGTGAGAAACCTTGTGCATGCTGCCGGGCTTGTATTTCAGCTTTGACAAGTACTTGTAGCTGATGATGTCAGACGAGCTTCCGGTGTCAATGAGGATCCGGCCGACTTTCTGATTGGCCATTTTGCACTCAATGACAATAGGGTCATCATGCGGTCGGCGGACCTTGCCCCTGTCCTTTTCAGTGATGATGACCTCAGGGAAGGTGTTAGTAAACGCCTGTCCCTCATCAAATGAACTAACATCCAGCCGTCTGACATGGTCCTTGGTGCCCTTGATGGTTGGGGCCCCTCCAGCATAGCCGCCTGCTATTGTGTAGATCGGCTCTTTGTCAGTGTCCGAACTACTAGCAGGTTGGGCATCCTTTTTGGACGACTGCCCGGGGTTTGTCTTCAGGGTTACCTTAGACTTCAGGATATAAGACTTCAACACCCCCTTATCAGCCAGACGGTCCAACAGTCGCTTGAGACTATAGTAGTCGTTGGTGTCGTGGCCAATATCCTCATGGAAATGGCAGTACTTGTTTTTGTTCCGGCTTTTGGCGGAACCTTTCATAGCAGCAGGCTTTAAAGCCGGAACCTTTCATAGCAGCGGGCTTTTCTATGTTCACCCGGTCCTTTATCTCCATGAGGATGGAGTAGCAGTCTTTGTTAAACTCGTACTTTGGGACGTACGGTTTAAGCTCTCTGTTTTTTCTTTTGGGACGACTGATCAGAGTTGTCAATCGCCCAGATCTCTTTTCTCTTTTTACTCTCTCCAGCTTTCTTAGCCGGCTGAGCTTGCCGACTCTCTTTTTTGTCAGACTTCTTGGAGTCCGACTGCTTGCTGATGGAGCAAAGCTCGGTCGCAAGTATATAGGCTTCCGCCTCCATCAGCGCTTCCTGGAGGGTGGCAACCCTCTTTTCGACGAGGTCGAACTTAAAAGTCGACCCGTCCTTCAGACCCTTGAAGAAGTCTGTATAAGCCACATCGTCAGACAACCCTTGAATCTGGATTCTCACCAGATTGAACAGCCTGACATATGACCGCATCCCTTCTTTATCCTCCTGCTGCACTACACCCAAGTGAAGACTTGTTTTCTTGGCAGGAATATTCATAGAGAAGTTAGAAGCAAACAAGAACGCAAGCGTCTTGAAGTATTGATGCAGCCTGCTGACAAGTTGTCGAACCATTGTTGGGTGATGCCCTTCAATGTAGCCGGGAAGCATCGGTACCAGGTGGCGTCATCCAACCCCTGCAAGTACATGAGGTTGGTGTAGGCCATGAGGTGGTCTTCAGGGTTGGTGGTACCATCATAAGTACCCACCTTGACATTCTTAACCTAGGCCGGCTGTGGCGCCTCGGTTATTTCCTTGGAGAACGTAGAAGGTAGTTCCCCAAGTTTTAGCAGACGAAGCTGCCAGTCCAAAGGTTAGACGTTTTGTGCCTCCTGACCCCCAAAGAGGGCCGATTGCATGTAAGGTTGTCCATAAGGCATGTATGGCTGCTGAGGCACATACGAGGCTGTATGGATCATCTAAGGGCCAGTGTACACGGACGGGCCGCCTGACTGACTCTCTCGTACAGATTGAGAATACCTCATTGAGGTATTCTGGAAGCTGTCTGGGTAACTCGACGTTGAAGCCGACTCAGACAGTTACTGGTTTCTCCTCTGCTCGATTAGGAACCGGGCATCAGAGTATGTTTTCTTTGAGCCATCCACCTGAACTGTCGGATGACCTTCCTCTTCTCTGTCTTAGGGAATCAGATCTTTGAAAGATCAATCAAGGGCCGCTTCCCCTCCTTTGATTTAGGATGCGGAGTGGGCTCTCGGTCCCTGACTGGCTTGTTCTTCTCAGAGAGAGAGAAGGCTTCTTGGCTGACTGACCCCTGTTGGAGCCAGTCACCCTTTTGTTGATCAGGTCCTTTATCTCCCCCTTGAAACTTGTCATGAATTTCATGAGTTCGTCTCGTTTGACTGGGGTTGTGCCTTCCGCCGCTTGGTGTTGTCTAGACGGTTGTCCGAATGATTTACTTGTACCAGCTTGATCATCGCCTCATTCCCTTCTTTCCTTGGGACGGGTGCGTCTGGTTCTGAGTGACCAATCAGTGGCCACATACGTTTCGACTTCAAAGTCGTCATCACTGTCATGGTCCGAATAGACCTCAGCTTCGGCCGTAGGTCGTTTCTCATTAGGAGGCGGTACAGATTGTTGTGAAGCCATTTTAGAGGTACTCTCCCCAAAGACGGCGCTAAATGTTTCGGGGTTTTCTGTGTCCCTCGGGAGAGTTATGTCACTAAGTCTGGATTCTGGGCGCCTATACTTGCAAAACAACGGAGACTCCGAGTGGTAGGAGCTCCGCCTCCGACGATCAAGTTATAACCGGTCGAAAAATGTAAAAAGGTGCGGAAAATGTAAAGTGAGATCTTCTCGGTTTATGAGATCAGGTGTTTTCTCTGATGTGAGAGAATTTAGTGTTTTTTTAATAAATGAACGTGTCCCCTAAGTGGGGTAAATCTCCCTATTTATAGGGTCATTGAGATTTGTGTCCCTGTTCTAGGTTACAGAAACTTAGGACCAGTGGGCTGCGCCGTTTTAGGGCAGTCTAGGGAATTGGGCCTTGATGGGCGCCAATTCCATATGGGGTATCTGCCTGCCACGTGTCTAGCCTTGGCAGGTCCACTTTGGGCTCTCCCTAGGGTAATGATGGGCGCCAATTCCATATGGGGTATCCCTCATGCGGTTGGTCCACGTGGCGGGGTAAAAATACCCAAATCAAGTGTAATATAAGTTAACTTTTTTCTAAATCATTAAACGGGTAAACCTAAACGCAACCCACTTATTAAGCGGGTTAATTTCGTGTTAATTTCGTGTTACAATTTTCAACACTAACCCAACCCATTTATCCAATTGTGTCGTGTCGAGTTGACCCGTCTAACTAAACGAGTCTAAATCCTTACCACTAACCCACTTTTGCGAGCTCTAAAATACCCACTTCATCGCTCCAGTTGCGCGCGCGACGGTCACATTTCACATCCTCCATTTGAATTGTATACCATGTCGCTTAACACTTTCAAAGAGACCTTGAAGCGCTGCTCAAACGTCTCCGCAATTCAACCCCCTTCTTCTTTTTCTTCAATTTCTGATTCCAATGTGAATCCTTCCCAACCCCGCAGAATCCCCCCCAAAACCTCCATTGCTCAGCAACTCCTTCGCCTCCAACAACCTTTCTCTCCTCCCCTCAAATTGCGCACCAATCCACCCCAACAACAACAACAACAACAGCCGCAATCGCAGCCGGAGCTACTTGACAGCAAAGGCCCTAACAAACTATCATTGATACAAGAGAAGCGAAGGTTTGAAGTTAAAGGCAGTGATGATGAAGAGGAAGAGATTGATCAACGAGGGTTTGCGAAACCCAGATTGGATGTTCTTCAGTTGGGTGAAACCGGGCCGTATGAGCCGCTTGTTTTATCGTCTGCTGGCGAAATTCCGGTGATTCAGGTGATTTTTAAGTTATATTTTTACGGCCCATTTGGTAACCGGTTTTAAACAATGGTAATTGGAATGAATTTGTATGTATGTAAACTTGAAAACGAAATCGATTTTCCCTAAAATGTTGAATTGCTTATAATAGGGTTAGGGTTTATTAATTTATTTTAATGGGCAATTGTATGAGGGTTGAAGTGGACAAGCTATGATTGTGCTAAATGTATGACACTGTGTAATGAAGTGGGTAATTGCATTGATGTTTTGATGGACAAGTATGATTATGCTAATAATAAGACGAACTCTTGGGGACGGCTAGCTTCACCATTTTTGTTCATGTTTTTAATTTGTTACTTTTATTCTGAATCTTGTTTTGGATCAGGAAGTTTATCGATTTTATCACTGCAAATTGAACTCTTGTGTAAGTTGTGTTGAATTTGTAAATCTGTTTAATCACATGAATACTTGTTATTAATTCTAGAAACTAAAGTAATATATGTAAATAAATCTTGAACGCTCGCTTCAATCTTAACCATTTTATTGGTAGGATCTGCTGCAGAAAACTACGGTGTATCCCTTTTTAAATGCTTTGTATCAGATATTAACTTCCTACTCAATGCAAAGGATAATTTTGCATACAATCTTCATTATTTACCTTATTAGATTGCTATGGCATCAATCTCAAACTCTCTTAGGTGGGCAGAGCTGTGAGATTTTATAGGCTAGTTTAAATCTCTCGCAACATGTCATTAGTCCTCTGACATATATCTATGTTTTATTCCTATAATATGATAACTGTTTTTCGTTGGTGGTGAGGACCCTTGGAGGGTGAAAAAGCACACTATAGGTTTCTGTATTTACCGGCCTTTTCTATTTATCAAACCCGTTTTCATTATGTGATTTCACATTAGAGGTGAGCTTGATCTATGCTTTCTCCATATCTGTTTATGCACCCTAAGGTGTTATCAATGGATTATGTGATATTAGTTCCATGATTTAGTAATTGGTTATGGGATCACATGCTTGTGCAAGTTTGCTAATGATTGAACTCCTTTGACCCTATTTACTTGACATGCTTTGACTTTTATCACAACTATAAGGGTGCTTCAGTTCACTTTAAAATTGGAAAAAAAAATTAAATAGAAAGTATAGTGTCGTAATAGCTTAAATTTGAAATGAAAAAAAATCAGTATATCTAAAATGGCAACCAATTCAAGAAGTAGAATATCATCTAGGAGCCGTGACAACTGTGGAGAGTAACTTAATTAGCATTTTCTCATCTTTATTCTGGAATAAACTTGTTTGAGTCTCTCATTATGCTTGCCTTCTATTTTCAATTATGGCTTTTGATCACTTTCAAATACACCTTATATCAATATGAAAAGTTGTTTAATAAGAACTTGAAAAATATTATACGTTGACATGTACTCTGCACTTCTTGATGAGTAGGTCATGATTCTTGTGAGCTAAGAACATAATTAAATTAATACAGCCTTATACGAATTATACACGGTCCTAACCCTATTCTCTGAAAATGCTTAACCCCTGGATGGCTCGGAATGAATGGAGAGTGAATTAGCATAATCATTTTAGTTACTGTAACCTTTTATCTTTGAATGGTGATTTTTATTAAAAAATAAGCTGTAGAGCAATTGATTTGGTTCAGTGCTAAGATCTGAATAATCAGAAAAGGATTGACTGAAGCATTCTGTAGGAGTGTATCTTGCTTCATGTTTTAAAGCAGTTTTTTTTATGTTGGCAGTTGGCTAGTTTAAAAATGCATGATGACGAATTTATGTGTGTTTTTTGTTGCCTTTTTACGACAAAAGCTCATCTATTTATGTACAAGGTTGTTGGACAGATGATGTTTTCTCTTCAAAACCAATATGCACATATTTCATTTACTTCTAAATACGATAGTTTATCTGATTTGAATCTTAAAAAGGATATTATTTTACAGGTCCCTGCATCCATCAATTGTAGGCTTTTGGAGCACCAAAGGGAGGGAGTTAAATTTTTGTACCAGTTGTACAAGAATAACCATGGAGGGATCCTTGGAGATGACATGTGAGTGCCCATAATAGTATAGTGTATTTTATTAATTGTTATTAGTAATTTGATAAGTTGTAAAATATTGCCGATTAGTTGTCAGTTTATGTTCCAAATGGTTCTCAGGTTATGTTGGGGAACCTCTTAAATAGTTGGTGTTAGACAAAGTGAGCCTTAGCGATGGTATATTAGTTGGTGTAAGACCAAGTGAGCCTTAACCTCTCTCTTAGTCAATGGTATGGTCTAATTTTTTGTGGGTAGCAATGTCTTCTATATTGTGTAAATCTTATTACAATGCTTCCATTGTTAACTTGTTTGTTTGTAGTATTGTTGTACCATGTTGGTTTTGTCTAGGTTTATCTAGATGTTTCTTTTATTTTGTCGTGTTATGAAGAAATATTTATTTGTGGTTACGCGCGCGGATAGATGTGATGTTGATCTCATGTAATCCTCTGTTGTTGGAGGTGGATACTTTGGGTACGAATGAAGCTAAAGGTAAAATAAGTTTTAGGAATGAATATATAACCCAGACTGTTTCCTTAGAAGGCATTTTGTTAGCGCGGGGCAAAGGGAATGCAATCAAGAAAGTGATTGAGAAGAAAAGGAAAAGAACTTTTATTTATTAATTTTTTATATGTAAGATAGTATTTTGTTGTTTAACCTTTATCTTCCCTAACCAATCTCCACCACACTCCCTCTCCTTGACTTCTACCACTCCTTTTATGTTGCTACCACCGCCCCCCTTGTTGCCCTCGTCTCCGCCCTCCATTTCAGCTGTCACCCATTCACTCGCTTTTTTTTTTTTAGAGGATTCATTATCATGAAAGGCTAAATTTGACGATTAAAGGGTCAAATTGAAAATTGAAAAGTTCAGATATGAAGTTTTCATTTTCAAAATTGACCTTATAAAACTGTAATTGATTATACAAAAAAGTACGTTATTAAGTTTCTATGAGATGGTGTATTGCATGGGTGAGAGAATTTTAGTGGTGGAAGAGGGTCGCATAGGTTAGACCATGAAAGAGTATATAAATTATAAAAGTAGAATAGGGAAATTTATTTGCAATTTTTTTTTTTTGAAGAAAGGGAAGTTTATTTGCATGTATTAAAGCAATAGAGAGAACATAAAAGAAGTATTGGGTGGTTAGGAGATGATGGTGAGTTCGTCGTGAGTTATGTTGGTGGTTGATGTGGAGTTTGTTGTCTGGCAATTGTGGAAATATCAAGGTGTGAAAGGATTGTCAGGTGGTTATGAGCTACATTGGTGGTGGTGGGCCAGAGTTTGTGGTTGAGACAGTGGATATGGCGGCAAGAATTGTTGCTGGAGCCGGTGAGGAAGAGTTAGTTGCCGCAGATAGAAGCACACAGACGTGGTTATGGAGTGTTGTGAAGGAAAGTGTACTTGTTGAAGGAATGAGGGAATTCCTTATGTCCCCAGTTGGAGTTGGGAATTAACTTAGAGGATTTCTTTGGAACCCAGAAAGGTAAAAGGGTAGAGGGCCACCAAACAATTACTATGGAGAATAGGGGTTTGTTAATTTTCCCTTATTTGAATCCCCCCTCACCTCAACCAAACAGCTAAAGTTGTCAGTCCCTTTCAATAATTATCATGTGTCTTATTAAATGCCCTGTGTACTGGATTAGTTAGATGTCTCCTGAGCTTGGTGCTGAATATTGACAGACCTTATCGAAATATGATCAATTGAAGATATTGATTCTCACAGTTTGAGCAAATGAAACACTGGTGAGAAACACGGACTGTATGTGAATTGCTGCTAAGGTGTGGATCTGCTGATCTTATATGCTGAGATTTTCAACTTATACGCCTTAAAATTAGTACAACTGATCCATGGGAAGTTTTGCTGGGAATCTTTGGGTAAATTATAAGAAGTTTGACCTGCCAAGCTAATAATAATCATGTGTGTTATTAAATTCCCTGTGTACTGGATTAGTTAGATGTCTCGTGAGCTTGGTGCTGAATATTGACAGACCTTGTCTGAAATATGATCAATTGAAGATATTGATGCTCACAGTTTCAGCAATTGAAATGCTGATGAGAAACACAGACTGTATGTGAATTGCTGCCAAGATGTGGAGCTACTGATCTTATATGCTGAGATTTTTCAACTTATACGCCTTAAAATTAGTACAACTGATTCATGTGAAGTTTTGCTGGGAATCTTTGGGTAAATTACTAGAAGTTTGACTACCAAGCTAAACAATATCGAGGTTAATGCTAATAATTGAATTAAATAAAAATATCTAGTTTTATTATTTATTTTGCTTTATACCTTTCTCCTGAAACTAGTTTTCTGGTGCTGAGAATTTTGTTGCATTAATGACCTATGTTGCTTTCCGCCTGATTATTTTGTTATGAATTAGGGGATTGGGAAAGACCATTCAAACAATTGCATTTTTGGCTGCTGTGTATGGAAAAGATGGAGATTCTGTCAACCCTCCAGCTGCAGAAAGAAATCAGAAAAGTCCTGTATTGATTATTGGTCCAGCATCAGTTTTACAAAATTGGGAGAGTGAATTCTCCAATTGGGCTAATTTCCGTGTTGCTATATGCCATGGTCCAAATCGTGACTTAATTCTTGATAAAGCAGAGGCTCAGGAACTTGAAATATTGATAACAAGTTTTGATACCTTTAGGATCTATGGAAATACTATCTCAGAGGTTATGTGGGATATTGTAATTGTTGATGAGGCACATCGGCTGAAAAATGAGAAGTCAAAACTATACACTGCTTGTCTCGGTATTAAAACTAAGAGAAGGTATGGTCTGACGGGGACAGTGATGCAGAATAAAATCATGGAGCTTTTCAATTTATTTGATTGGGTCTCACCTGGGTCTTTGGGAACCCGTGAGCATTTCCGTGATTTTTATGATGAACCTCTCAAACTTGGACAGAGGTCTAGTGCTCATGATAAGTTTGTGCAAGTTGCTGAAGAGCGTAGGCAGCATCTTGTTTCGCTGCTTAATAACTACTTATTAAGGAGAACAAAGGAGGAGACTATTGGAAATCTTATGTTGGGAAAAGAAGATAATATTGTCTTTTGTGAAATGAGTGCATTGCAGAAAAGAGCTTACAAGAGGATGTTGCAGCAACCGGAGATTCGATGTCTTATGAACAAGGACCTTCCTTGCTCATGTGGGAGCCCACTTACTCAAGGGGAATGTCATAATAGGATAATACCTGATGGAATCATATGGAGATATCTTCATAAAGATAGCCCTGATGGCTGTAACTGGTGTCCCAATTGCCTCATTCTTCCCTGTATTCTCAAGCTTCAGCAGGTTAGTCTCTGAATTCCTCTTTTAATGCTTGCATGGGCTTGCTTGGTCATTTAAAAAGAATTATGAATATAAGTCCCGTTCACTCCTATCTATTTTGTGCAAGTTGGAGTCCATATGAATTTCTTATCTAGGCTTTTCATTTTTATCTCTCTTTTTTATTTTTAAAAAAATCGGAACTAAAGATGATCATCTTAATTGAATTTATATACACCATACTATAGGGGCATGCCTTGATTGTAAGTAATGGAGGTGGGAAAAACAAGGGAGTAAAAATTCTGATGTTTAATAACTTTTTTTAATGCCTGGAATGGAAATAAATGTGTTAGGGGGTAATGTATTCCTCTTCATATGAGGATAAAAATTACTCATCCCCCCCCAAGTGTAATCTTTTCCCCCTTACAATTTCTCATTCTTTGTAGACTTCTGATTTCCTGCAAGGAGGTGGTGGGATTTGCAGTGATTTAACTATTTGGAACCAAGTGTTTTCATGCAACTGGCTTGAAGATGATCAAAGGGAGATTTTAACCCTAGTAATATTGCCAAACTTCAAGGATAGGAATGATTATCCTTTAATTATGTAAAACTTTTCCCATTAAGGCACTAACTATTTTTCCTGTCATTAGTCAAGGGAATCCAGGCATGCCATAAAAAGAACGAAGTAAAATATTTAGTTAAGTGTATCATCTAGGGGGGTGTTTGGGGGGGGGGTAATTGCCCTAATTTGGTGAGCCATTTAGGTGAGATATCATAATTGTTGATGCTGTAGTGATCTTTTGCAGTGACAAATGTTCTTTATAGTGCTTGATTTTATGTCTATCCTTCCCTATCTTTCAGTCAAGTGTCCTTTTCTCTCTCCTTTTCTTTTCTTTTTTCTTTCTTTTTTTTTTTTCTCTCTCTTGTGCTAGGGTGAAGATTTGAAGTTCAGTTTGGTTTAGTTTAAGAAAGGACTGCTTACTATCTATGTACGACTTGCCAGGTATTTAGCTAATTAGCTCTCTTCATATCTGGTAGGATACAAAGCTAAAAGTGAAAGAGATCGAGAGCTTGCTCATTAGATTCTTCCAGGGCATTATTGACTACACTGTTACTAAACTTTGGACTTTCGTTAACTTGTACCTTCCAACTGCCAACAGTTAAAATTTCTGCTTGTTGCTAACAAATTAGTTCCCTCGCGATCCAGTGGCGGATTGAACTTAATTCATGATGGAAAAAATAACCACCAGTTTATTTTTTTTAAAAGAAAGTATATAAAACACATATTAGGAGTTGTGTGCATATCTTGTTAATTGAATGGGGATGGTTGCGTAGTTGAAATGCTGTGTGCAAGTGCCTGCTGTACTCACTCAGGTCGTGGTTCAATCCATCTGTCCAATTTTTTTTTTTCCCCTATGTATCTCTGAATTTTTCACCCTAATTTGTTGCTGATTTCCCAAGGTCATTCATATTTTTGGAGTGCAAGAACGATTCCTTTTTCAATCTCCTAAACTATTGTAATTTAATCTTTCTTATTAACACTCATATGTAAGTGTTCGTCCACGAACCATATCCAATGAGGAGTACTATTTTAATGAACCTGTTCTAAATTATTTTAACAATTTTGTATAACAATTCCTGGATTCGTGGCATTCGCCACTACAGAGATCTCATGTTCTCCTTTTCAATGATAGACTTAATTGTCCTATTTCTTAGTTTCAACCACAAATTATTGATTCTCCATTGGAACTTTAGTTATACCTCACTTAGCTTGAATAAGACTCATCCCCTTTTACCTGAATTTGTCTAATTTCCATATTATCAACCACTTTCACTTCCATTCACATAGCGATTGCCCAACTACCAAAGCTTCAAATCCATTTTCACTTTCTTAAACCTTTTACAATATGATTGTCCTCTAGATACTTTATTATCATATCATACAGTAAAAAGCAATTCAGTAAACCTATATACAGGAATTCCTACTATAATTGACTCTTTGGTGGTCGCGGTTACCTATAGCAACAATTCTTATATCATGGAACTGGGGCTAGGATGCTCATTGCGGTCCTTTGCATATTCTTGTCCTATGCTCATGGTCTATGATTTATATGTTATTATTAATAGTGTGCGTCCTGGTCTCTTCCATATTTTATCATTACACCTAAAATTTCATTGTACAATACCTGTATTCTGTTTTAACAATACCTATTATAATATACATTCATATTCTTTATCTTTTTCAAGTATATTTTACTTACAATGTGTCTACATTTATATTTATTGAATCGTTCATGTATTTTCTCAGGACCAGTATCAAACTATACTCATAAAATGTATGTTTAGACCTCATGTCATTTATGCTTTGTAAATCCTCCTCCAAGTTATGATAGCCAATCGTAGGGGTTGTAATATACATCATGTCCAGGCATTAGAGTCTTTTGTATAATTTGTATAGACCTAGCGGACTAGCTTTATCACTATCTCAAAGTTTCAATGTTATATTAGTAGGTTTAGTAAGTTTGATGCCGGGATTAGTGGGGCTTTAGACTGATTACTTTATATGTACTTTGCAATGAATCGGGTTAACCCACCTCAAGTCATACGGGTCTATGAGAGGAGAAAGAAACAGCAGCAAGGCAAAGATAGGGAAAAAGAGCAGCCAACAACAGAGGAGCCAGCAACAGCAAACAAGGAGCAAGAACAGTACAAAATCGATTAATGCACCACTAAGGAGTGTGGTGACTGTTTTGAATTTTTAAAGGCCATTACAGCAGTACATGACAAATATTATTAATTATTAGGGTCCTTTGTAATGAGGGAGGGCTTGGTATAAAAAGGGTAGCAATGCAATAGTATGGTTTATCTGATTGTTGATGTTATTAGTAGAGTAGTAGTAGCCGTAATATTCTCCAAGAGTCAAGCTTTTAGCTTAGACCTTAGCTTTCATTGTAGCCATTATTTACAAATATTAATCAAATATCTCAAGCCTTCTTCTATTTGTAAGTTATTGTTATATTCAAGCAAGTCTGAGTATCGAGTCTATAGCAAGTGGTATAGAGTGGTACGACCATGGTGACCACGCTCAAGCAACGGGTGGACGCTGTCGAGGAGAGACTCGCAACAATGGAGACTCCACTCACGGCCATTGACGGGAAGTTTGCAACTTAGGACACTCAACTTACGGCTATTGAAGGGAAGCTAGACACCCAAGAAGTGACCATCGGTAGGGTGGTTCAGGCGGCCGTGGCTCAAGCTTTGGAGTCGGAGAGGAAGCGGAAGCTCTGGCACTCGGTTAGAGGCTAGAATCGACCGCTTTCGAACAGACCACGAGCGACTGGCTGCAGTAGAGAGGGAACATAATCAGAAATTTTGCGAAGAGATGAAACGGATGGCGGCAGGTGCTCAAGGAAACAGACCACCACCTATCTTTCAGCCGGTTCTCAACATTGACGGCGAGAATAGTCAAGACCAAGGGGAGAATGAAGTACGAACCCCGGTGAAGGGGGTTTAGAGGATGGAGGGGAGAAGGTCAGGCGAGGAAGAGTAGTTTGGTGGCGGTGACGGCGGCAGCGGCGGCGGTCCTCAATGGAAACACCGCAAACTTGAGATGCCCATATTCGAAGGTACCGACCCCGATAATTGGATATTAAGGGCTGAAATTTCCTTTGAGTTTTACCAATTATCGGAGAGAGAGAAGCTGGAAGCCGCGGTGGTGGCGATGGATGGAGCGGCCTTAAAATGGTATCAATGGGAACGAAAGAGGCGGCCGATCGTGGGGTGGCTGGAACTCAAACAAAGGCTACTTTACGAATTCGGCCGTCGCATGCTGGCTCTTTGTATGAGTAGTGGCTCGCGGTGACTCAGTAGGGATCGGTGGAGGAGTAAAGATGGCGGAAAAGGCTATTGAAGCTGGCCCTATTACATTTGATAGGAAGCCAGTAATTGTTAAAAGGTGGAGGCCGGGTATTAATTTGATGGAGGAGAAACTGGATTCAATACCAGTTTGGGTACGATTTCCAGGGCTAGATCTCAGATTTTGGGGACATAATTCCCTAATGAAGATTAGTGATGTGATTAGGAAGCCAATCAAGATGGATAGGGCCACTGCTACTAAGGATCTGATTGAATATGCTCGTTTATTAATTGAGGTTCAGATTAATGGAAGTGTGGAGACTTCCCTGACTCAATTGCTTTTCTTGATGAGAATGGGGTTAAGGTTTCTCAGAAGGTGGAGTTTGAATGGAAGCCAATGTCTTGTATAAAATGTTTAGGAATGGGGCATGTAGCTGAGGAATGTCCTGGTGTTGGAAAGGGTAAAGAAAGGCCTCAAAGGAAGAAGTTTCATAAGCCACATAAGGTTTGGAAGCGTGTACAAAAGCCTAGACAGGAACCTGTGTCAAAGCCAGTGCAACAGGCTACAGGACAGGCTTCATCACAATGAGCAGTGTATAGGAAATCTTGAACTTGGAAAGCAGGATGGGGATTTCAGTCAACCTCATAATCTAGGAATTGTATCAAGCAAGAATCTTGGGAGGCAGGAAAGTAGACAGAACCACCAATGCAGCAGGGAGCAGGACACTGTCAATAATATAGTTACTCAGAATAGATTTGAGCTGTTGGTGGAGGAGGTGATAGATGAAGTTGGGTTTAATAGTACAAGAGTGAACACCTTGTCTGGTGGTTGTGGTAGCTCAAGGGCGTTGTATGGTGGTGAGGGAGGTGGATCCTACACCCCTCGTGAATAAGTGGGGTTTTTGGAATATTAGGGGCCTAAATCAACCTGAGAGAATTAGTGATGTCTTGTCCTTCCTAAGGAATCATGATATAGGGTTATTTGGGCTCCTAGAAACAAAGGTGAAGGCTGCTAATTTTGAGAAGATCTTCACGGTTTTCATGCTGATTGGTCAGTTGTTGCAAATTATGGGAAAGGTGGGCATGGCAGAATATGGCTGATTTGGAAACCTGTGATTTTCAGTGTGAATGTGATCAAAATTGAAATGCAGGTGATTCATGTTAAAGTGGTG